ATAATTCCATTGTTTGGTGTTTGTGGATTATTGTTATTAAATTTGTTGAAATTGTTATAATTAGGGCGATTGTTGAACCTTTCAAATATTTCAAAAATTCGGCGTTGTTAGGTCCTGATTGTAGCTGCGCGAGTTTTTTCAGATCTTTGATTGTTTTTTTATGTTGTAATGAAATATTGGATAGAACGTTTTGTTGTGTTAATTTGGTTAGTGTTTTTGTACACTGTTTTAATAAGATGGCGAATGACGCTTGTATAGCGTAATTGATGGTTTCAGTGTTGTTAATAATATTCATTGGTTATAGAAGATAGGTTGTATACTTGTGTAGGTATATTGTAATAACGTTTATCGTAATAATAACGTTACCTAGTTGGGCGCCATTTGTAGTAGAGTAAAATAAACTAATAAGCGAGTGCCACGTTGGGCGCCATTTGTAGTAGAATAAAATAAACGAAGAAGAGGGAAGTCGGGGAAATATGCAGTGGCGGCAAATTATAAAGGGTGTGAATGATTGGAGTGTTGCGCTTATCGTAAATTTTATCTCACTACAGAATATTTTTATTTGAATGCCGAAATAATAATTTGTTCTTAATTATATAGTATATGTGTTTTCACTTACCTTGTATTATCGTGAATAAAAGTGCGTAGACTCTCGTTGGAATATTGATTGGAGTACCGTCTCTAATTGGTGTGAGTCGATGCATGTTATTTATAATTTACGATTTACACTACAATATCCTATTGCAATTAAGTATACATTTCTATATTACACACTGTTGGTACTTTACGATTGTGATAGAATGGAGTTTGTAAGGATATCTTATGATGGGAGCTGATGATATTATGAAGATTGTTTTATATTTTTATAACATCTATTTCAACTACCTATATATTTGAGGTTTTAGTCGCTTAAGAGGAAGGTACTTACAGCACAGCGCATAAGTCTGCCTGGTTCCTTGCTCGAGACTTAAACTGCAAATATACTTTGGCAGCCCAATGTCTAGTATAGACAATGAATTGACAAACGGCAATAGAAGTGAAGTTTATTATTTGTTTTTATTTAATATTATTGTAACGTCCATTTCAACTACCTATATATTTGAGGTTTTAGTCGCTTAAGAGGAAGGTACTTACAGCACAGCGCATAAGTCTGCCTGGTTCCTTGCTCGAGACTTAAACTGCAAGTATACTTTGGCAACCCAATGTCTAGTAGAGACAATGAATTGACAAACGGTAATTGAGATGACATTTATGTAGATACTTTACGAGTTAAAATGCATTTCATGTGTGGTACAATTGATTTAAATCTAATATTCTTAGGGATATAGGATTTGGATACGAGCATGTGGATGTCTTCCCTACACAACTTAACATTACTGAAGGATTATTAGGATTATAAAAATTGAAACAACAATGTTGTTATGGCAGAATAGCAAAGTGAATATACCAAAAGTGAGCTCATACCTGGTTTCAAAACAAACGCAATAGTAAGTTAACTTTGTAGAGAGAGATTAATTTTGTGTCAAAAGAGAAATTGGTTGATGTTGTATGGATTGATCCGCGGCCGCCATCAGCGTGGTCCTCTGTGTTGAATTGACGTGTTGCGTGGAGTGTACTGCTACTGGTGTACCATTGTTCTGAAGTGAGACTGATACTGTGACTGATGCTTTGTTGTTTGTGCGTGGCGTTTATATAAGAAAGCGATTGTCTTATCCCCACTCTATTGTTATTACGTAACGTTACAATAGATTATTCGTCCTTGTTAAGGGAATTGCGCATGTGCGCGTATTCATGTCGTGTTTTCGCATAATGTCGTTGGGTTTTTGCAAATTTTTATATGATAAAAGTGTTCCCTACATTGAGTGTCATCTTATGATTGTTTTTGCGCATAATATTAGCAGTGATTTCAGTTTGTTTGACCAAATATCGTATGGTGCGCATGTATGCACATTTTATGTCATTTTTGTACATTGTCGTTACTTTTTGGCTATATTGTTATAAGTAGGGTGTTTTGTATGTTGTGTGCTGTTTTATTATTCTTTTCGCGCATAGTTTCTGCAGTGACATCTGGTTATTTGACCGAATGTGGTGTGGTGCGCATGTGCGCACGTTTTATGTCGTTTTTTGCACATCGTTGTTGATTTTTGGCGATATCAGTATGAGAAGGTTGTTTCGTATACTGTGTCTTGTTTTAATGTTGTTTTTGCGCATAGTTTTGGCAGGGACATTTGTTTATTTGACCGAATGTGGTGTGGTGCGCATGTGCGCACGTTTTATGTCGTTTTTGCACATTGTTGTTGATTTTTGGCGATATCAGTATGAGAAGGTTGTTTCGTATACTGTGTCTTGTTTTAATGGTTTTTTTGCGCATAGCTTTGGTAGTGACATTTGTTTATTTGACCGAATGTCGTACAGTGCGCATGCATGTACATTTAAATTATATTTTTGCACTTTGTCGTTAGTGTTTCTGCAATGTTAATATGAGAAAAGTAATTCGTATGTTAAATGCTATCGTATTTGTCTTGTTGCGCATAGTCTTGGTATCGACATTTGGTTGTTTCACCAAATGTTGTGTAGTGCACACCGGAAGTGTTTCTGTGGTGTAAGTTGTGTTACATGCGGCCCTTCAGGGATCCAAAAGCTGGTGTACTTTGATAAATAATAATAGTCAATTAGTATGGTAATCAAATGTATTATATTAAACCAGACAAAATAAGCAGAATAATAGTGTTGATTGTAGCGAATTGTAGCTCGTTCCGAAATTGATAATCTCCGTGTAAGTTGTGTGTGATGGCTGGGCGGCTAAGCGAGTCGTGTGGTGTTCTCGTCTCTGGATACATCTACTCAGGCTGTCTCGCTGTCCCCTATATATATGGTGGCGGCGTCCTTTGAAGTGAGCGGCGCGTGTACAGTCGTCCTTGATATGGACCTCACGAGTCACGACTATGAAAGTGGTATTCTTAGTCGAAAACACTTTTGGGTGTGGTCGCATTCCTGGTTGTTTTTATGAGCAAATATATGATATTGCGTAATCCCATTACAGTTGTATAAGCTTATTGTGTTGATGAATGAAATATTTTTTGGTATTATGATTTCGTAAGTTAGTGCTATATCGAATTTTGTCTTTTGATTTGCGTTATGATATATTGTTGCTATTTTGTTATTTTCCCTTCGTGTAATTTTTAGTAGTGATATTTTGTCGCTTAGGTGCTTGAGTGATTGTGGGTTTTTTGTAATTTTTGTATGGAGTATTTGTTTCAATAGGTTGTGTGTTAATGTGTGTTAATGTCCTTTTTCATTTGTGTAAAGTTTTAGCGACAGTTTTTGGCATTCAATTAATTTTTGTATTTGTGCGCATGCGTCGGTGTTCGTATAATATGGAATTTTTGGTTACGTTATGATGTACGTGTGTTGCGTAATGTTTTATTATCTTGTTGTTTCATTATAACCATATATGGGCATGTTTTTTAGTATATGTACGTCTCGGAAATATTGTTATGTAATCGTTAAGGAATGTTGGTTGCCTAATATTTCTTGGTATTGCGTAATATGTTTTAATTGCGTTTGTATTTTTTACACCCAAGTATGAGCCTACCTGATATATTCATTTTACAAGTTTATTTAAATATAAGGTGTATTATTCATATATTACAATACCTTCACTTAATAACTCAATTGGACATTTTACATTTTGCACCTACCTTTGTATGATGTAAAGGTAGTTGCCTCATTATATTATTATACAGATACATTATGTTATATATTATATTATTATTAGGTATGTAGCTACTATTATGTTTTATTCAATAGGTAGGTAGCTAACTTTTAAATGCAAATGCATTTGGGTAAACTTATTTTTGTATAAGAAAAAAGTTGTTCATTTTTTTTTTTTTTTTACTATATTATTATATATTATATTATGTGCTAGTTAAATGCTTCTATCTAAATGCTATTATATTATTATGTACCTAGCTATACTTATGTTATAATTTTAATAACTCAATGTCTCAATTGTGAATTTTATATTTTTTCTTATTTAAGGTGTACATAGTATTATAAATATATATTTTTTTTTGTTACAATAAATAAAGGTACCTTTACTGTTTTAACAATTTACTGGCGATTATTTAAACGTTGTTTTAATTAGAAAATATTTACATATTTTTACCACTTTATAGCTCCACCTGTAGGCACACTGAATAATATTTTTAATATTTTTAATTATATAACTTCTATTATTGCAAGGTTTATACAGCTAATATAATAGCTATAGAGCTATAATTATATAGAGTAATTATGTTTGATATAAATGTTGTTTCACAACTACTCATCGACATCAATTTCAAACTACTTAAAGTACCTAGTTGATAAATGCAGTGTAAAAAACTAATAATAAAAGGGTATAATATCTCTGAGAAGTCTAAGTGAAGTAAATACAGCAGTTTAATTTAACATATGGGTGAGTTTGATGTAGTATATTTTTGATGCTCTATAGAAGTCTAAGTTTTGTTTATTAACTATTGAGCGATCTAAATAAACAACCGATAGAAGTTGAGTAAGAAGTTATTTGTGAAGTCCTATAAACTTAATCTTTTAACATCTCATTTATAACATCACTCAACCTGGCGTTTGGCATCCGTGCGAATGTGCGATATCTCTGAGACAGCCTAAGGATATTGAGAAACAAATGACATAAGTAAATTTTTTGCTATAGAATTATGTGTTATATACAAATCATTGCTAATCAATATTTTTATTGCACAATGTAATAACATAAAATGTTGAAAAAGTTGTTTTGTTAATCTTCCTTTTAAAACAATTAAAGACGTATATAAAAGAAAAGACCTAAACTCTGTAGCTTTAAAAAATTCTAATTCGTCCAAACTCCGCGGTAATCTATTAAATTCTGAAGGGAAGTATGGTTTTATGTCAATGAGTTGTGAAGAAATTTCAGATACTATTTCAACACTTTTAAACCTAATAGGTTTTTTTCCTTTTACTCAAAAAGTAAGTAAACGTTTCATGACCCCAAGACAGACATTGTGCATATAGTCTAGAACGACAGTTGATACCAAATTAATGGAAAATTCTTCTAAAGGGCTAGGTCCTTTGTGGTAATCTTCATCCTTTTTTGAACGAAATGAATCGTCAGTTCTTAAAGGAGAAGACACTCCTAAAAATGACATCCGGCCATTAATAAATGTTCCTTCGTCGATACAAGAATTGCAGCTATGGTATGCGTTAAAGGATTTAACATTTAAAATAAATGCCTTTGCCGGAGCGTCACAAATTATTTGGCTTATAATAAATTTGTAAATTTTACCATTTAAGTATATTCCATTTGAAATAATACTTTTCATTTCAGTCATAAAAGAGCTTAACCCTTTCAGTCCCGACTTTTTGTTTCGAAAAAAAAAAATTTTTTTATTTACCGTTTAATATAGTGATCCTGAAAATTTCAAAATTTTAACACACTTACTTTCGAAGAATTCGTAATGTACATTGGGACTCGACGGCATAAAAATAAGACTGTAAACCGAACGCTACATATTAATGCTTTTTATACGTACCTACTGATAAAATAATTTAGTTTTCTTCGAAATGGTTGTGGCTTATTGTGTATAAACATATCTAATTTAATTTATTTTATATCATTTCTTGTTAAATTTAACGAGTGTAGAATCAACAAAATAATATTCTAAAAACAAATATTCGTATTCTATTATTATAACGTCTCGTCGCTACGCTGCACATGATTATCAAAGTTTATAAATAAATTAATAATAACCATTTATAAGAATACACATAAGTATAAATTGTATTTATAGTAACGCTGTACAATTATTTTTTCGTAATATAACTTTTATTACTGATAAAAAATAAAATATAAATAGGAAATAAAATCAAAAAAAAAAATCATTGTACTTGTATGAAATTAGTTGTTAAAAATATAATAATATTATAAATTATAAAAATCTAAACATGAATTGCCCGAAAACAATTTGATTTTGTCGTCAGACATAAATGGACATTGCATTTTTCGCAATATACATGTGTTCTTCCTTTACAGCCTGCATTTTTGCATCTGGTCGCTTCTTTTCGAGTGTTTAAATCCGGCAAGTGACTCACTTTATCAAGTTGAATGGATGTCGACGGTCTTGAGGTTACATGTTTTAGTTTTTGATTTTCCGAGTATAATTTTTTTTTTACTGTAGGTGATGGTGTACTTGGTGGTCGTCCTTTTTTCTTTGTAGGGGGAGTAACTGTTTTGCCCATATAAATTAATTCTTCTGCCAATCTCATTCTAAAACTTAATAAGTCCATAATTTTTTTTTTAGGGACTTTTAATTGTTTGGTATCTTCAATATACTCCAACCAACTATTACTTACAGCCATGTCAAATGCATGAGAGACCATACGTAGTGTCCATTTTTTTGACCTAATGAAGCAACGATAAAAACTAACAAGTTGGTCGTGTTGGTCGACCCCCCCCCCCCATCGTTTTGTTGTAATGTCGTACTATTTCTGGTCTTTCAATATATATAAATTCCTTTTTTTTTCTGTCCCATCTTCTAACAACGTCAACGTCTCCCGATGTTATAATATTTGAGCACAAATATATAGGTTTGTTGTCGTACCACTTGACAAGACCTATATTTACATCCGGGACGTTAGAGCTGATCTCAAATGTAGTCCCTCTTCCCAAATTTGTCATAGTTTTATCGGATAAAAATGGAGGATTACAAAATCGATTTGAACGTATTGTACCAGTTGCATAATTTTTTTTTTTTTTTGCAGTGTATAAAATAAATTTATTGATGTAAAAAAATTATCCATAGTAAAATAGTGGCGGTTACTTTTTAGGTGTTCAGAAAGAAACAAAACTACTGATCCACCTAATCCAAATACTTTCCGTGATTCTTCCGATACTTCAGGCATATTACCTTGGTACATTAGTAAATTGTACACAATGCCGCTTTGACCACATAATAAGAAAAGTTTTATTCCCCAGGGATTTGGTTTTCCCCTGATGTACTGTTTTACAGAAAGATGGCCTTTAAATGGAACGATTTGTTCGTCTACTGATAAATATTCCTCTACAGGTAGTTCTAAACATGTTTTTTTAATTCGGCCAAAGAGTGGTCGAACTTTTATAAATTTGTCATTAGTATTTTTCGGAATATCAATATTATTAACCACATGAAAATGCGATCTTAGACTAAAAAAACGATTTCTATTCATCGTATCGGCAATCATTTTTATTCGCGTATTATCCTCCCAATACATGCGAATACGCGGGAACTTCAAAGCACCCATCACTAAATGCATAGCAATGAATTCCTTCATTTCTTGGATATTTGTAGACTTACAACTATTAGTATTTTTTTGAACCGCGTACAAATTTGTAAAAAATGACATGTTTTCAAAATCAGAATCATCAAAATATTTTGAAAAATAATATATTGGATTTTGTATTTCGTCTGGACACTCAGAGTGTTCCGTTTCGTTTAAACTTACCTTAGGAGGTCTAAAAGGTTTTTGTAGCCACTTCATATTTTTCTTTTCAACTGTAAACCATCCGGGGACATCAACTTCCGGAATATCATTTATATTTTCAAATTCAATAAAGTCGGGCAATTCAAAGTTTTCATTTTCATCAAAATTAGCTAGTAGCTCGTCAATCTCTTCATCACTATCACTTTCAAAATCACTTAGTTCGGAAATATTTCCATCTAATAATTCAACAAGTTCGAAATGAGTAAGTTTACTCATTTTAAAAAATTAAAATGTTAAAATAAAAAAGGTAAAATTACGTAGCGCGATTAACTAAAGATCGATAATTAAAACTCCGATACAGCGCCGAATATCAACAACGGGTCAACGTTCGTCGTACCTCGTACGTATGGCTATTTCCGTGTCGTCTAGCGCGCTCGTGGTGTACCGGCGAGTCCCAATGTACATTGCAATGTGCATATATAATACCTACTATAAACTTCGTTATATTGTAAGTAAGATAACGAAAGTGGAGGCAAAACCTCAATAGGAATGTCAGTAATTGATAAAAAAAATTTAAATATTTCTACGTTATCCTAAACATTCGGACATTCTGGAAAAATAATCATTATGTGACTGTCGTAGATTTTTCCCTTTAATTAATTTTCCCTACAATATTGGTAACACTGGCATAGATATAAATATGTTATTATGATTCTACACATGATTACCAATGCATAGACATCTCAAACATGCATGTAGCTCTTATCATTATTTAATTATCAAATATAAAAATGTGTGTACATTGTAATGTACATGGGGACTGAAAGGGTTAAGAAATTGGCAATCCATCAATATTTATTCCCAATTGTATAATAGATGTATTTTTAAGTTGTTCAATATAAGCTAGTAAAATAGGTGTATCATAAATTCTATACCAATATGAATATATGTACCAGGATGAACATTAATTATTGCATGGTTCTTGGGGGTTTGAAATAGAGTTCTTACATCTTTTGGCAAATCAAGTCCTTCAGATCTAAGAATTTCCAAAAGTTTATTTACACAGTTATGTGAAATATGAAAGTCACAAATTAACTGTCGTAATTTATCCTTAAGTGTTTTACTTTCAGCACTAATAGGTTGATTTGGATTATTAATTAAGCCTGTAGCTAATTCATTTGACCGATTAAAATTGTCTGGTAAACTGGGGTACATTGTAGTTTGATTAGTTTGAGCATTTGATGGGGTACACACATTTGTAAAATCTTGATGTTGCAACACTTCAACATACTCACAGTTTGTAGTACTTTCTTTCAGATGACTTGTTAGCGCAGTAAAATTAAGCTAGCTGCCTTTCTTATCAGCTTCAAGACATCGTTTGAAATTTGTTTTGGACATATGATGCAACGGTTTTCTTTTTTTTAACTATAACAGAAATTGTAATGCAGAATTTAAACAATATACTCAAATAAAAGTTAAATTTTGTAACTATTTTAAAAATTAAAGGTCAATATTATATATTTCAACTTTTAAGTACCGATGTATAAACTAAACTAGTATCTAACATCCTAACCTAACCATTTTAGAAAATGTATAGGCCAATATTATATAGGTATTTTAACTTGTATGAATGTACGATGTACATGACCTAACCTAGATTTAGACTAACTTAATTAGTAGGTACCTATATAATTTCCTGAATATTATCTAAAATATATATAATATTATTTAAAGACATTAATTTATTATACATAAATCATGTATATAATACTTACTATACAATATATAATAGATGAGTATACGTTTATACTATTGTTTTCTTTTTATAATATAAATTAATAAATTATTGGAAAAAATATTATTTATTCTTAGTCTGTTGATCTCTTATTAATCGCTGTGAGCCATGACGAAACCAGTCTTTAACATGCAACTCGAAATCAAGGTCTGATGAGTTGAATTTTTCCCTAGATAAGTCTATAGAACAAATAAACAAACAAAAATGAGAATTCCCACTAAACGTTTGTAACACAAAAATATTTAAATTACCTTTCATGATGCTCATAAACCAAATATTTTCGAGCCTGTAGTTATTTCGAAAACCTGTCCACGAACATTTTGAAGATAGCTCGTTACTAAAAATCCTTTGTAATACACGTTTAATGAAATTTTTGATATCAATACCTCCTATTCTAGTAATAAAATTCGTCTGAAAAATGTTATTATGTCTTTAATAGGACTTTATTTAAAAGGGAATATGCATTAGTTAGGTATTTATAATGTAACAGGCATAAACCAAGGGCAAACATACGTCATGTGAAGCGAATAGGTAAAAAAAAAATTAAAAAAAATTAATATTCTTACCACATGTAGTTTAAAATCTGAATCATTTGTGATACGAGTATCAAAATCTTTAAGTGAATCGATATCTTTTAAAGGAAACATGGTTAAAAATTCACTATCTATAGGATTATTATTATTATTTTGGGTACCAGCTGACATATTTTTTATGATTTGTTCAAGACAATCCAATCTTCCATCAATTCTTTTTAAATATGCATTGGTTTCAATGCCTTGTTCATATATAATATTTAATATTTTTGACTGAACAGCATCTGAAGTAGAAAAATAGTTATTACTTATTATACAACTAGGTACTAAATACAATATTTTACATGATATTAGAATTTAGATACATGTATATTTTTTAATAAAAATAAACAGTTTTTAGTTTTTAGCAAAGCATAATTTAATGTAACATGTAAATAAATTGCATGAGTGCATCAATGTTTTTGCAATAGTTAAGTGGTCTTAAATTGTCATCTTTTAATTGTGATATATTAACATTAAAAAAATCTTAAAAGTTATAACATAACTACAACTCACCACGATTAACAGAAAAATTGTTTAAATTATTATTAAGTATAGCTGAGGCAGACAGTAATGGGCGAGGTGTTGGAAACTGGGAATTTTGTGTTGTATTTTCAGTACACAAAGGAGATGCAGACTCATAAACATTTTGATCGTTCATATTTAATAATGTGTCCATTGCAGCTAAACATATTTTAAACGGGCAAAATTGGCACATTAAATATTATACATTTAATGATTTAAACTCCTACAACAAAAATTCGTAAATACTAATCTTACATAATAATTATTTATTACTATTTTACTATATATATCTTTCTCCTCAAATTGTAACTCTTATACTCATAACATACCATATAATTTGCTCTTATCTCACTAAATTACCTATCATTATTACCATGTATCAAACCTTTTATAATCACTATTTTAATGTTAAACAATTTATCAATTATTATTATTTAATATTAGCTTTAATGGATTTATCTGTTAACACCATATTCATATCGATTCCAGAATTACAAATTACATTTAGCCAGCTTATATTACTTTCTCTCAAATCATTATTTGAACGATATCGCTATCTGCGTTACCATAACACTAATTGGCTCTACGATCAGTTTTACGTTATAAATAACAAATTGTATATTATACCCTACACCATATTATAATGAATGATAACACTAATTACGCATTTGTTCACGAAAAAGTAAATAACGTGAACTCGGTTAATTGCTCTTTTGATAGTCTAGATACCTTTGTATACAAACAAAACTCACTCAATATATTGACAACAAATATCTGTAGTATTAAAAAACACTTCGATGAACTATGTATTATTCTTGATAACATTGAAACCAAATTTGAAGTGATCGTTTTAACTGAAGCATGGCTAGGTTTAGATAACATATCAATTAATAACTTCGCAATAAACGGCTATACAACATACTCCACCACAAACAATAAAAATCAAAATGATGGTGTTGTAGTCTACCTAAAGGACACATTAAGTAATATCATTGTTACCGAAACCAATACACAAGCATTAACAGCACTAGAGATTTCTTTTAAAGGCGGTAACACACGACTGGTGTACTTGGCCAATGTTGGTCACTGGTGGCCAGTGACCAGCCGTGTGGGAAGTTGAGCTGGTACAAATGTTGGTCACTGGCCGTTTCCCGTCAATTGTCGGTAAATGGTGCACAAGTCAAAGAACGGCCAGTCATTATGATGTGCATTGGTGACAGTTCCCACATGACTTGGCAAGTGGCTGGCAAACTACTGGGCTTTGATATCAAATATTTCGATAATTTAATAAAGAATAATATTTAAATTTTTAAAAACGTTTGAATTGAAGATTTGATAATGATAATGTTTATGTTTCAATGTGTGTAATAAATTGTATAATATGTTCCTTAATTATAATTGTACCTACATAGATTATTATTGTACATACGTACCTACATAGATATTACCTATGTTATGTGGGTATTAATTACATTTTAAAAATGTTGACTGTAAATAATATTTACCTGCAGTACCTATGGTATAATTTGCCCATAGACCATAGTCATATTTTATAAAACTATTTATAGTATTAGATTCTAGGAGTATTTACAAAATATTTCCGGTTTCAAAATTATCCAAATACCTATAGTATATTTATTTATAGTATTAAATATTAATATGTACAAAATTAGGCTCACCGAGAAATAATAATTTAGTATACGTTTGTATGTTGTCCAAAACGTGTTTATTGTGCAGTACAAATCTATATAATATTGTTATGAATGTTAATACTTAATATTATAATTTAATTAAAATGGATTGGTCGAATGAATTGACGATAGAATTTTTGGATGCCTACGAAAAAGAAAGTGTGATATGGAATCCTAAAAACAAATCTCATAGCAATCGAAATCTTGTAAACGATGCATGGAAGAGGATTCAACAAGGACTCAGTGCATCATATGATATAGCAGCTTTAAAAAAAAAAAAGAATCTCTGATGTCAACATTTCGGCCTTTGCATCAAAAGGTCAAAGAGAGTATGCGAACCGGTACTGCTCCAGATAATGTTTTCAAACCAAATTGGTTTGTTTATAATAAGATGGACATTTTCTTAAGAGACGTCTATGAAAAAAGAACCACAATTAACACAGAGGTATATATATATTTTATAACTATTTTATTTAACAATATTGATCCTGCCATGGTAACTTACCATTTGTTATAAAATAATTTGCGAATTCATCCCTAATATGTTTTGCCTCGATCGCCGATTTCCTAGCGACTCTACGTATTGGCAATAATGATGAAATGTCCCCTATTTCACCTCGCCATGTACCTGGGACGATTTCTCCTGCATTTTCATAATCCAAAACTCCGGGCGGCGAATACATTTTGGAAGACGTCCTACTTTTTCTTAAAAAGTTATGTAGTAAAACGCATGTCATGACGATATTTGTTGCATTTTCCGGTTCTACTAATAACGGTTTTCTTAACACACGGAAAACGGATGACATAACGCCAAACACGTTTTCTACCACTCGACGAGCTCGCGACAAACGATACTTAAATACTCTTTCGGCGCTTCCTTTGTCGTATGTGCCAGGATAAGGTTTCATTAAATTTTGGGACAACGCGAAAGCATCATCAGCAACAATTACATATGGAATAGGTAACGTTTTTGAAGGTAATGGTTGATTAGTTGGGAGCATTAATTTATTTTCTTCGATTTTTTGGTATAAAATAGTGTTTCGGAAAACTCCACCATCGCTTATACGGCCTTGACAACCAATATCAGCAAACGTAAAACAATAGTTTGCGTCTACTAACGCCATTCAGAATTACTTGAATTCACTGATGTAAATAAAGCCACTGAATATTTCACTAGCACTTTAAATAACCTAAAAAACCAAGCCTCGGCTGAAATATCCATCTCCTCAAAAACCAAAAAACTGAAACCATGGGCCACTACCGCGATTATTAACTCAATAAGACAAAGAGACCGTCTCCATTTACAAGTTAAGAAACACCACCTTAATTTAAAATTAAAAGATTACTACGTACAATTTAGAAACAAAATTACAAAAATAATAAAAAATGCAAAGATCCTTTACTATAAATCAGAATTACTAAAATCTGGAAATAACACAAAACTTAAATGGCAGACTATTAACAATATCTTAGCAAAAAATAAGAAATCAAGTAACCTTAAAGAATTATTAAATAACTCTAAAAACAAAAATGATTATACTGATGAAAACCCCGAATATGTTTTGGCTGAAAAATTTAATAAGTATTTTACAAATGTAGCTACCGATTTAATTACGTCACTAAAAAACCGTA